GAGGAAATTATTGCTCTCAGTTTTACAATTTGTCTCCTGGCTGTGAGAAGCTGCATTTGATTGCCCGATTCACGCAATACATCTATTTTCCATTAAAAGTGCAATTTGTAAAACCGACTTTTATTACTTATCAATTGTTGACAGGAAGAGAGAGAGGGGAACGGGGGATGGGATGGGAGAGGGGAGGGAAGGGAGGGGAGAGAGGAGAGGGAAGAGAAGAAGGGAGGGAAGGAAAGAGAAGTGGAAGAGGGAGAGGGAGGGGAGAGGGAGAGGGAAGGATGCCAGATTATCAGTATCAGAATGATTTCCACCAAAAGATTGCAGAAAGTGGTAGTTTACATTCATTCATTCATTCACTAAATGACAGAATCAAGTCATTGTATTGAACAAGAAATGTATTTGATTGAAAAGGGAATACAGAACTTGGAGGAAGTCAAGAAGTCACATAGATAGTTTGGTGACGCATAGCTGATTCTTTTTCTCTACAATCGTGGAGTTTCTCTATTTTTCTCATCTGAGATCATGCAACCAGGGACCTTGGTATTACTGAAAATGCAAGGCAATAGGATAAATTCCTGCATCCTACCTCAGTTCTAATTTACATGAAAGCTGGGACATGACCACTGAAGTACAGACAAGGATAGAGAAAGCTCGAACAGCATTCTTCAAAATGAAAAAGGTCTTCTGCAGTCACGACATAAGCCTAAGATTGAAAATCAGGCTTGTCAAATGTTATATTTTTTCTGTCCTGCTCTATGGAGTAGAGAGTTGGTCTCTGACAGAAGGCCGCCTGAAGAGACTAGAACCATTTGAAATGTGGATTTACAGGTGGCTGTTACGTATAAGCTAGGTTGACAAGATCAGAAATGAGGAGGTGATAAGCCGCCTGGGAAAGCCAAGGGAAATCATCAAAACAATTAAAAAAGGAAAGTTAGAATATTTCGGACATGTGATGTGACACCCAGAAAAATATGGCATACTCCATTTAATCCTCCAGGGAAAGATAGAAGGCAAATGAGGTCCAGGCAGAAGAAGAACATCATGGCTTCAAAATCTAAGGGACTGGTTTGGACAAAACTCAGCAGCACTTTTTTGTGCGGCTGCTGATAAAAACAGGATCAACAACATGATTGCCAACGTCTGATGAAGGATATGGCACAAGAAGAAGAAGAACATCCTACCCAATTCAGGAAAGTTGAATGCATGCCAAACAGTATGCCTATACAGAAGAGAAGCCTGCACTGCAGTTTAAAATGGCTTTGGAGAAACAAATGTGGATAATTGCAATGGAAAATACTGCAAATGTGTGTGGGATGGAAAATACTGCAAATGTGTGTGGGATGTAGACTACAGAAGCTCTTGTTTTGTATTTTCAGCTGGGATTAGAAAACTGCATCTAACAAGAAAGAGTGAGAGTATGTTATAATTAAAAGTACAATAGTAAATATACAACTTAAACATATATGACAGAAGACAAACTTCGTTTTTTAAACTATATTTTTACAAGTACAAAAATAAACATAGATTTTTGGCAAATATGCATATTTTTGTTTGCTACTTTTAACACAAAATCAAGATCCATGTATAGGAAGTTTTTGCACTAAAGCATTGTTTTGCAGCAGCTTTCAGAAAGTAAGGTAGTTGAAAATAAATTAAAAGCAACTTGGTTCTGGAATCCATCTTCACATGATAGTCACAATTCCTATAGTTGATGTGGGTTGGGGTTAAATATATTGATTCTTCTCTTGCCCTTGTTCTAATGTCAGAATTGGGAAGAAGCAGAGAGTAATGGAGAAATCTGCTTAGTTTTCATTTAAAGCAAGAAACTTACACATTCTAATATAATGTGGATAAATTTCTGTGTTTTACACTTTGATAATTTCAAAGGTATGTGTTATAAATATAATTGATAAAGCTATGTTATTATAATTGATAAAGCTATACATGCACCCACAGTGAAGATATAATGGCAATATTCATATTTACTGCACCATCATTCAGATAGTTGCACACAGTTCTGATAGACCATAAGTTTCATGGAACAAGGATGTAGCTACTATCTTAACATTTAAATATAATTTATTTATTCAGAGTAAGATACCATTGAAACCAGTTGCTAAGAAGAGGAAGGTAAAGAAATAATCTACCACTATGTGGACTTTCTGAAAGCAACAGGCCAAATCTTCATGCTTTGTTATAAATTGGTAATTGATGTGAAGATTCACCAAAGCTTTATTTACTGCTTCTAGGATGATGATGATGATGATGATGATGATGATTATTATTATTATTTTATAGTAATAGATTAATCTTCCCCTAACAAGTATTTTCTAAATGTACTGAATGCTAAATTCCAGAATTCCATGGAAGCATATATGTATTCAAGAAGAAATCTTGGAGTTGCATATATAGTACATCTAAAAAGTACCAGTCTGGAAAAAAATTGCAGCAGGAAATAGTATTAGCAACCCATACCACATATTTAGGACATGCTCTTTTCCTACAAGAACCTATATAAAACAATGCACCCAGTGTTTATTACTGTGATCTTCCTCTAATAAACTCAGTGTAGCATCTCCTCCTCCATCTCTTTTCTAATAACAACCTTCTGAGTTGGTTAAAATCAAGAAATAACACCTGGTCCAAGATAATCTAATAAGCTTCCAAAGTCATTGATCTATTTCTGGCCACTTCTTGTATTTATCTCTGTGCTGTGGGGCTTTTTAATTGTATTTTTAATGTAATTAGTTTGTTTAAGACTATCAACACCCCTGAAATGTGAAACATATTTTGCTAGCAGATTTTGAAAATGAAAATTCTTTTTACACCAGGTTTTTCTGTCCCCCATCTGCACTCTCCTCCTGTATATAAATGTGCCACATTAAATCTACCAAAGGGATATTTTCAAAGTCCTTCACATGCTGAAAATATGACACTGGATATCTGTCCTTTTTCCCTTCCTTAGAACAAGATTGCATATCCAGACAATTGTCCTGTGCTAAGGTGCTCTACCACCTTAGCAAAGAATATATAATTTGAAAGATCACTAGCTTGTATCCAGGGTTGCTACCTTCCCTAAATATGGCCCCACTTTCATGCTTCCCCTTCATGCTTCAGCTGACAGAAAAGCTTGCAAATCCTTTTCTTCATGGTTGCATCTTGACCTTGACCCCAAAGCTTTAGAGGAGGTAGCCTCTGCATTTGAAGCAGCCATTGTCCACTGTCAACTCCTTTTTTTCTTTTGATATTAAGGAGAGCAAAAGGTCAGGCGAGATACTCGCCTTCTTAGATTTAGCATTTGGTGGAGGTTGGGGACAGGGGGTGGTTCTCTTCTTTCCTTTGCAATGTATTGCTTTTTTTTTTTTTTTTTGTATTTTTCCTTTTTTTTCCCCCTCCCCAGTCTGGTCCACTATTTTTTCTCTGGTATATATGAAGAGAGGGAAAGAAATTGGGAGGGGAGAAGGAAAGCAATATAAGCGAGAACCAAATCCATATATGTGTCAGACATTTGGAGGAAGAAAGACAAAAGCACTGAGTTAATTACCCATCATTTGCTGCTGCTGAGACGCACAGATGGTAGCAAGTGATATGTGAATAGCATGGGGCAGTGAATTATTTGATTTTTTTAGATTAATTGCCAATGGCGAAGTAGGTGATTGCAAACTTTGTTCTATTTACAAAGGTATAAAATATATACATGTGTTCTTTTTAAAATGAAATATTTGGAGAATGCTAAATATGGGATATGGCTTTCCCACGATAAAGATATCACATTAGACCAATGAATAATATTTCATTCCAGGTAACCTGAGAGAGAAACAAAAACTCCTTATGAACTGGATTATAAGCAGCAACAAATAAACCTTATATATTCATACAGCAGAAGATTTCACTGTAAAAAAGGCACTGGGAAGAAAGCTGTTATATGGAACAGTAAATAGAGAATTGTGCTTTTTTTTTAAGCACTAATAAAGCACAGATTGAAAATAGAAATCGGAGATAAGAGTGACAATTTCACAGCAGTGTCTTGCTTGGCAGAGATAGTGATGAGAAGAAAAGAACAAAATATGTTGTGTGTATGTATCTGCGCATGCATGTGCATTATACAATACAATACACACACTCAAACACACCTTCCAAGGTCAGGATGATATAATTCCTCTCCAATTGGCAAAAATGTTCAACCTTTTTTCTTCCTTATAGTAAAAGAAGAAAAGTGTTCTTGCAGTTTCAGTTGCATCAATAATTAATTGGTACACGGGAAAAGCAGATGCCGTCTTTTTTGCAGATCATAGAAACTGCTCCATCATCAAAATGTTGCCAGTCATCTCGTTATTAAATCTATATGGTGCTAATATTATGAAGGATGAGAGAGAATGAGAGGAAGCCAGTAAGCCACAATAGTCTTCTTGGAATGCATTCCCCTTGATGGCATTTTCTGACATTTCTAATTTAGCTAGAAAGTGGTTGTCTGCAAGCTCAGCTGGGATGGGGGAGTTTCAAGAGGACTCCTTCCCTGCCCTTCTCCTTAAGGAGGTTTCTTAATCAACCCAAACAAAATCTGGCCCACATTACTGGTACAGTGACTTTGCATTGTAAAATGATGGGGGGGGGAGTTGCAAGAAGCTGGAAGAATGAGGCTGGGTTGTATTAGTCAGCAACACTGGGCAGTGCATTTAAACTGCCACCCCTTTAACATGAATCTAGGTTAAGAAAATGCAGCACAAGCCAATCTGCTCCAGAGAAAAGAGAAGCATCAACCATTACAGGAGACTAAAATTTCCAACATGTGGTTTTATTAAAAGCTAAGCTTTCAATACAATATCATTTGTTAAAAGCTGGTGGATTTCCTTTCTTTCACCCCACCCCACCCCACCCCACCAATCTCTTTTTCACTTGATATGCCAATACAGGAAAAGATGCAAATAAGGCAACTGCACAGCTTCCAGTCAACATAATAGCACAAAGAACGATGGAGGCTGTGTGCGTAACTTACCTACCTTAACGGCACACTGACTTTGCAGAGGCAATGCTTGAATCACTGAAGCAGCAGGAGGGAGAAGGTTGGCACACATTTCTCCTTGCTGTAGCTTTCCATAATAAATCTCTCATAGTTCCAGTTCAGGGTGTTGGATTTTTAAAAAGTAAATTTAAAAGAATGCAGCATTTGAGTGAGAGAGTAAATGCTGCAGGCAGGGATGGGTGATGAGTTAGCATTCCTAAAATGAGAACATTGTTTCCCCTTTCTGAAATTAGAAAGAAATGAATGTCTATATCCAGTAAAGATAATTTAAGCAAGCTTGCAAGCAAAATATATCCAGTTAGGCTTTGAAGAGCGTATCTTTTAATCCTGCCTAGACGAGATAAGGAGTTGCTACTGAAGGGTCCTCTAATGTTTATTTGAACACAAAGGATGGATGATTTATTGTACAGGACATAACTGTACCTGTGTACCTGCATATTGATAGCAGTTCTTGAAATATCACACAATTCCTCGCACATTCCAAAAAGCAGCGGCACTTTGGAAAAAATGCTGGGTGATAGAGCAGAGGGAGAGGAAGGGAAGGGTAGGGGAAGGAGCCATCTCTGGAAACAGAAATGATGGAATCAGAATCTAGACATTATCTGCTCATGTAATCATAAATATTTTTAAAGTGTAACCAGTTCACAAGGGGGAAAAAAGCATTCGCATAGCTTTTTACTGTTCCAGAAATATTTATTATGAAAGCTGTGGGTAGCTATTACTTATAGCCTTGTAGGTCTTTCCTTTTCTCTCCCTCCCTCCCTCCTTCCCTCTTTTCTTTTTTCTTTTTTTTCATGAAACAAAGATGAAATTGAAATTGATTTTTGGGGCAGACATTTATATTGAAAGGAAAATCGTTTTATATTTTTCCCAAGGTGAGGCCCTCATTCATTCTGAAATACAAAAAGTCCAGGAAATGAAAACCTTGTTGGACAACAACTGGCCAGGCATTTTGCATAGGAGGTTTTCCATTACCGGTAGAATTTATTCTTTGTTCTCTGACATGGTGGACTAGAAATACACACTTGATTTTCCTCATCGTATGCAAATTCAGATGTACATATTGTTTGTTGTGAACACCTTTCATGCCTAAATCATGTCCATATGACTAAGAAAATAATAATGGTCTGTTTACCCCCCCCCTTTTTTTTTTTTTTTTTTTTTGCTGCTTTGTGTTAGTTTTTCAGGAACTCCACAAAAATCCGTGCCATGCACAAGGAATATAGCCATGTAGTTCTCATTTTCATATATACAGAAGCAGTTTAAATCCCAATGAAGTCAATATAAGATTAATTGAATGAAGATACAGCTATGGCTCATATTTAAGAACAAAATCAGTAAAAATAAAGGATGCTATTGTTCTTTTAAGGAAGTTCTGAAATTGATATTGTGCCTATCACATCTGCATCACAGTACAATTCAGTCTTTCTCCTGATTCACTTTTATATTGTTACTCAGAGTGGTAGCATTCATTCTTAAATGCAACTGTGTAAGAAATTACAATGCCCCAAAAATAATTCCAAGATGGTAAGAAAGCCTTTAAACTAATATATATGTATATATATATATATATATATATATATATATATATATATATATATGTATGTATATATATATATGTATATATGTATGTATATATATGTATATATGTATGTATGTGTGTATATATATATATATATATATATATATATATATATATATTTAAATGGCAAAGTACAAAATAATTTACCATTACGGTAGTCAATTTTATACCATATATATTCTTATCTTCTTTCTATAACAATGTGTTTCTTGTTCTTTTTTTAAAAAACTTTTCTGTTGTATTGACCTTCCTGGTTAGAAAAAAGAAATAGATTCTGCAGATGTACTCCAGATTATTTGATTCTGCTGCACATGCTTCATTCTGAAGGATATATACACACAGGCAGGTGTCTTTACAAATGTGTGGTGTGAAAACAAAATGTGACAATAAATCATTTTATGTAAGATTTAATCCAGTATGCTCTTTGTTCTGCACCGGGCCACACAATGTGGGTAATCCTTGATAAAATGTCCACAGTTTTATGTGTGGTGGGATGGTGTTAGTTAGGCATGCAAATCAGCTGCCTCATCTGAATAATTTGCAAATCTAGAAATTGGTATCCTGCATAGGATTATTTCACTTCCTTATCCATTATCTTTTTTCAACATTTAACTTCCTGTTAGAAGTTGCTTGCTTCCTTCCTGAGATAAGAGAAAAGTATTTTAATGTGAAATCTTGCTTTTTCTCAATAGTCACATAGTGATTTTAGCACCATGAATACGGTTACTGGTTTCATGCAGCAAATGGCTAATACCATCAAAGTCAGAATTTAGCCTGTGTTAAAATGCAAATATTTGATCAAGGACTAGGAGAATCAATGTTTAGGCAACTAGATCCATAATTCTTTTTCCCTCTCAAAATTTATTTCTAAGAACAAGAGAGAAATATCTTTAGATTTGTTCTGCTAGTCTAAATGATTTCCTTTTTTTTACACATACATCACAGATTTCCCCTATGAGATTTTATATAAAAAAGAAATAAATAATTCCTTCTTCCTTCTTCTCCTTCCCTTTCTATCTCACTTTCAATGTACCAGAAGATCCCTCTTCAGCTTGATGGCCTGCATATATATTGAATTTCAACTTCCATAATTCCCATCTAACATGGAATTTGGGAAAAACTAACATATCTGGATGACTGTCACTGAAAAATGTTTGGATGAAGCAATATTTGAATATGTAGAATATCTATATCTCATGGAAGTCAGTTGCACATCTTTTTTACGTGCAGTAAATTTATTTATTCTAATTTTATTTGAAAACAGATCTGTACTGCCTGTCATGAGTAAAAGAAGTCTCACTGATTGTAATGGATCTACAATGCATATGACTGAATTTGGACTCAATCTCTAGTTTAATGGATATTGGCAATGGACATTTCTCATTTGTATATTTCTTGCATTTATACCCTGTCTTTCTTCAAGATGCTCAAGGTGGTTGATATATTATGGCCCCATTAATTTTATAGTCAGTCTGAATTATGAAGCAGATGGGTTGAGAGAAGATGATTCCCCTAAAATCCCCCCCTTGTGTTTTAGCTAAATGGAACTTTGAATCTTGGGCTTCCTAGTGTTTATCCAACAAAACAAAATATTACACAACACTGCACTAGTACCATCTTTTAATTACATTAGGAAAACTGAACAGTTATGTATGAAGTGGTAGCAAAATTTCCACACTGGGGAATAAATTACTATGAATATGGGATAGGGAGGGATATTGCTCTGCCTTTACTATTAATTAATACCTTTAGTATTTCATGACTTAACCTGGCCCATTGTTCTCCACTCTGATGGCCACTAGATGGCTTGGGTTTATACCTTAATTTCCATAATTTTGCTCCAATTTATATAAGAGATAGTCACACACCTCCAAAAATGGGTTGCTGTTGCTAATGTATTTTAACTTTTATAATGTTCATTATTTTATTTTAACTTTGTTCACTGTCCAGAGTCACTTGTTGAGATACACAGTCGTATACATTAGAATAAACAAATAACATATTTGGAAAGCCATTACTAGTTCAGATTTAACAACTGAGCTACCCCTCCTTTATGTTAATCTAGTAAGAAACATAATTTTAAAAGTATTACTTTACATAACACATCCCATGGAATCCAGTGCAATGAAATTTAGAGATTTACTTTTACAATTAAATCCCAAATAACATAACAGCTTCACTTGATGCTTAAATCAAAGCATTGGAGCCCTCTTTTGGTTGAAACTGAAACTGTCATTGCCAGCTGCTATGTTGATCAAGGATGTTCCTAAAATTAGTTCCAATGACATCAGTCACACTTCTCATTTCAGTGGCACTGGTAAAAAGGGCTTTTTATAGCCCCAATCCTAATTTCTGAAAGGTATACATGTATCCATTTATAAGAAACATTCTAGCATTAGTGGCTTAAATGTAAATGGAATCTCCATCCTTACTTTCTACTATTACATACAGTAATGTGCTTTCCAGAAACTTCAATTGATGCTAAAGCATTTTCCGAACAAATGCTATTGGCAGGAAGCCTACCATGACTTCAGTGTATGCCATAAAATCCTAAGTATACCAAGATTCTATATCAGTGGGAAAAGAGAGACTAGAAGAAAGTCTCACAGCTTCCTCAGTACTCATTTGCTATTCGAGGCTGAGACCCACATGTGGCTTTAAAGCAGGGTCACAAACTTCATGTTACACACACACACACACACACACACACACACACATGTATGTGTAGATGATAGATAGATAGATAGATAGATAGATAGATAGATAGATAGATAGATAGATAGATAGATAGATAGATAGATAGATAGATAGATACTGTAGAGATCAGGGATGTTCAAACTTGGCCCTTCTATGACTTGTGGACTTCAACTCCCAGAATTCTGGGAGTTGAAGTTCACAAGTCATAAAAGGGCCAAGTTTGAAGACCCCTGGTATAAATAAATATAGAGAGAAATATATAGATATAGAATTTATTTATATTTAACTTTAATTAAAAAGAGATAGTACCAATACTTCCACATAATTTATTTAATAGCTTTCCTTCTCTCACATTCAGCATCACTATTTAGTAATAACCTTCAGAGGTTTCTGGGGACTGCATCCAAAGCTTTATTTTTTGGGGGACATGCCTAGCCCTGTGGCTTCTGCACATTATTTAGCCATCTTCAACCAGATGCCCTCGTGATGCATGGAACCATGGCTAGGCTGACTATAAGATTATGAATCATGAGACTTGTAGTTTAGTATATCTGGATCAAACCCAGAAGACTGGATAAGTTTTACCATGAACAATTCAGATTTATTTCTTAATTTCTTACCATATATTGGAGATGCATGCAATAAAAGGCACAATTGTCCCATTTCTCATATTTCTCACTATTTCTAATTTCTAGCAAAGAAAATTTGGGGCACATTAAAGGAGGTACTTTCAGGATCCTTTTATTTTAATTATACCTTACTCCTAATGGTCATTAAGATAGTACATGAAATTTTCTGCCCCTTCCCCTAGACTCGGGATTGAGCCTCCAATGACTGAATCAGTGAGAAATTCAACCTGGTTTTAATCCAGCACATTAACTGCTTCTCCACAACACAATGAATTAGCACATTATTTAGCTGAGGTGAGACATTGTTCATAATGCTTGGCTTTTTTTTTCTATACTGTGGTGATCACA